AGTCAGATGGACTTTGATCGTTGAAGATTTGAAATTCACTATTGTAGTCACTCGAAAACATCAATTACTTGTCATAGCATATCCATTCATCATTGTTTAGTAGATTACAGTTGCGTAGATCAGTATGAGTGAGCCAGACAAAATGATTATTGACTGCTATAATCGGAACTTGAATATTGATCGTTGATATGCCAGACCGTGTTATTAAAGGAATTGGCACCAAGTTGTATAGCTCCACTGGTTGAGATGCTACGATTGGCACGGTCATGGTTATCCACCACTGTTCCTTCAGCCTTTATCAATTTATAAAACTGAATTATACTTGTAAGGTTGCTACTAGCTGGTAACTTTGTCCCTGCTGTAGGTGAGCCTGCATGAACTGTAACTGCCCTTCCCACTGCCGTGGCGAGATTAATGAATGTCTGTGAGAACCTTCAGTATCTCTGATTGCACTCGTTGGAGATTGGATGCCAGTAGTGTAAGTTGTGTGGTTATTGCCACATACCACTGGTATGTTTTGCCATGGTCTTCTAATCCTGTCAGTTCTTCCAATTGTTGTTCCCAATGGTCCATTCTTTTGTACAACGCAAGCTCGTTGCGTTTCAGAACGTTTATTGTTGAGTCAATAACCGAGGTTTGGTTTTTAACAAGTACTAGTAGATATTCCTCATTCATTTTAACTTTGTGAATGGTATTGGACATCTCCTTAGCATATTCCTCATCGAGAACTCCGAATAGACTACTGGCTATGTTTCCAACGATGTCTAGAGGGGATCTCCGGGTTCGTGGGTACTTCATCAGTTCGTGTTCGGTCTTAAGCTCTTCCTCTATATGATAGAAGTGTTTATGCAGCGATACACATGCCTGTTTTTTATATGTGTGAGGATATAATTTGTTGAGACAGTATGCCAGATCGGAATACATCCATATCGTTCCAATACGGGTCTAAGTCGTAGTAGGCAACTATGTTCCATTCTGCAATTGCTAACTTGGCTGTCCCAATTCGTTCATAGAATATTCCAGAATATTTGTTGAGACAGTATGCCAGATCGGAATACATCCATATCGTTCCAATACGGGTCCAAGTCGTAGTAGGCAACTATGTTCCATTCTGCAATTGCTAACTTGGCTGTCCCAATTCGTTCATAGAATATTCCAGACTTCGAGCCAAATTTCGTAATCTTGATTGGCTGAGCAATGCTAGTGGTAGCAACAGTATTATGGTCAGAAACACAGTAGTGAGTGCTGGGAAGCCTTTCGGCTGGTGCCCTTTTGCTTCGCCATATTTCATTACATCGCAATAACGTGTTATGTGTTTTATTACAATTAAAGCATCCTCGGGAACGGCATTCTAGGGCTCTATGATTTTTTCCCAAGCAGTTTACTCATAATCTTTTCGTTTGTGCCCAGTTTAGTCTTTCTGAGGCTGATTTTGCTTTAAATTTGTCGCATTGCAAAATCCGGTGGTTAGGCTGATTACAAAATGTGCATGTTGTGTCTTTGTCTGCTGTAACCGATGCGCATGCCTCCTCTCCTTGTTTCCTTGCTTGTTTCCAAGGCCTCCAAAGCCAAAATGCGTTGCTCATACAAAGTGTGAGTTTGGCGATCCAATTTTTTCGTCAGAATGTGCAGTAAAATTGGATCCCATGAAAGAGTGTTTATCTTCATATTTTTCAATACAGCCATTGTTTCATGAATGGTGTCATGAAACTGTTTTATTGACCAGGCTTCACTCACAACTTGTGGTTGGTTTACGAGTTTTTTCAGAAGCTCTGAACTTAGAACTATATGGTTGTTAAACCGATCATTGAGCATTTTCCACGCTGTTTCGCTTCAGTGAGCGAGAGTTCGGCCTCATGAATCATCTTCTTGAAGATGTCATGGAATTGTTGCCACTTGAGATAATCACCAAATTGCGGTATTGACATCTTCGGCAGCTGCATCGACAATTGACTTGTCATTTGTGTTGTTGCGTCAAGTGCGGGGTCTGCAGTAGATGTTGCATTCATATTCATAACAGCACTTTCGGCAGATATAAAATTGGCTGCATTATAGTCCAGGCTATCAGGATTTTCAAAATCTCTTTAGATTTGAAAATGAAGATCGGAAATTTAATTCCGATATTTCTCCACCATAGGCCTCAGTTGTTGTTTGTTTTCAAGTGTCATTTGTCCCATTATCCGAGACAATGCGTTTCAAAGCGTTTTGATGCCTTTCAGCATTATCGCCTAAGAGGCTGGTGTCCATGTCAAACGTTTCAAGCATGGTTGTGTGTTGAGTAAATTTAGTTAAATACTCATTAGCGATATCTATTATTTTTGTATAATAGTCGCTTTCAAAATAGCTGTGGTCTATTATTTGACCATTTAAGGCAACAATAACATTATTATTGCCCGCTTGAAATTGCTCCCGAAGATGGCTTAGCCTTGCCTTTCTTTCTTCGTAGTAAGCTTTCGTTTTTCTATCCTGGGAATCCTTTTTGTAATTCCTTATCAGGGTTTGAATTTCTTCTCCAAGCGATGCTTGCTTTTTAAGCAGCGAATCCAGTTCTGGAGATAGAATTGCCACATCTCCAATCTGGTATTAGTTGTCAGACCCGTTGGAGGTGTTGTTTTGCTTTTAAAAGCCGGATGTGACACTAAATACCAATGGAGGTCCGTCCGTTTCTGGCGGCGGATTTATCCTGAAGTGTTCCCACGTTGAGCTTTCTGGGGCTTCTGTGAGCACGACCAGAACTGCTGCCCAACGGAGTCTCGATTAGTCGCCTAATCGTTCCAATACAAATTGTCGGGAAACTGCCTGATAGCGAAATCTCTAGCACGTAGATTCAGCTGGCACAGCTTCCTTGTTGCGGTCCTTCCGTCAATCTTGCTTTGTTGAGGTTTCTTGGGCTTCATTGCCCAACAAAGCTCTCTTCCAGAGAGTTCAATCAGTTTTGCTTCGTTGAGGTTTCTGGGGCTTCTATGAGCGCGACCAGAACTACTGCCCAACGGAAGCTCTCTTCAATAGAGTTTCAATAGAGTTGATGTTGGTCGCCTTGTTGATCAACCAATCCAGTTGCGTCCTCAAAGTGTGCGATCCTATGTTAAGGATCAGGTCGGGGTCACCAAAAATATGTTGTTGTTTGTTGAGTTAGCCCGTAGTAATAAACTAGTAGCTGAGTATTTTAAAATCGGTACTTGAACCAAGTATAATTCGGAGGAGCTGAAAGGGAATGTGAGATCAGAGCTGCACGAGTGTTCTTGTGGTTCTGTCTGTTTATTGATTGAACTTCAGGGGTTTATATACAAAATTTAGAATGTGCGTAGGTCTTATTATTACTAATAAGTGATTGGTGGTTGGTGGTTGTTTAGTGCACATGCGCGGCCGCTATTCTAACAATAGCTAAGAAAAGCTGCCTGCGTTGGCTTCATATGCACATGCGTGGCCCATGCGTAGCTCATGATACGGTCAAATGCGTGTGACATTGACAGTACGATGAACTTCAGCGCTATGGGGCATATATGAACACCAACAAATTAAATTATTTAATTTAATTACATACAAATTATTCAATTCATATATACGATAGTGGAGACATGTCCATGCACAGTTTCAACAGCATACATTAATATCAGAATCGTGTCTCTGCGTGCTTATATCCATGTATGTATGCAGCACAGAGTTGAACCAAAGCAACAACAATAGCTGTGGGCAGAGCTACAGGCAGAGCATGGCTGACAGCGTCAGCTTCGTCTTTATCTTCGTCTTCGCAAGAACTATGAACACTTTCGAGCAAATTCATATGTTTGATTGCGGCAGTTTTTCGTCATCAGCTTCGGCTACAGCTTCGTCTCAGCTCACCATGTTTGTACCCTCAGTTTTTTGAAAACAAGTAAAAAAGCTAAAGTCGGGTGTCCCGACTGTGCATATGTTTAGAATAATTAAAGATATTAAAAAAAGTAAGACAATTAAAAAAAATATTTTGATCGATGTTACCTCTCTCGGTATTCGAACTCACGTAAAGTGTGTATCAAAAATAAAACAAACTTGCACAGCGTACACACATAACGCATCTTTGTGCAAAGTTGGTGTCTCTACCTCTTACAGTCTCTGAGATCCAGGTGTTCATACGGACAGATGGACAGACAGACAGACTTGTTTTTTATGTTTGTTACCTCGATACACTCGACTGAGTAAACCGTTATTGATGATTCTTGTATCATTTGAAAGCTGTTGCTTCCCGAATGATTCCGTTTAAATTTAGTCCAGCTCTGACAATGGCATTCATGTGAAAACAGCAATTCAATTTGTATTACTTGTATATATAGATATTTATATATTACGTAAAGCTATTTAATAAACGTGGATCTTCATTTTTATATTAATTAAAATCAATTTATTTTATTCTCCTAAATAGAAAATCAATTAAAATAAGCAAAAACAATTTCTATGTATCCCCTTGCCTTTGACACTCCCCTTGGCCGGACAAAATATGGTAGTCGGTGAGTGTTCGGTCAAGAGAGATTTTACTGTATATGTACTTTGTGGGATCTGCCACGGCTCCTTCTGTGTGAATTTCATAATCAAATTTGCCTTATATGTATATGCACTTGCGCTCATGCGGACATCTACATCTCGGAATACATTCGAAAAAAACTAGAATAATTTTCTACTCTTTGGCTATATTACAAAACATACCCATCATGGATATGCCACCGAATAGGTATTCAATACATATGTACATACGTGTATGTTTTTGTTTTGAGCTGAGTTTTTATAGCGTTAGTCTCGAAAGGTGTGCAACTGTGTAAATAAAATAAAAATACACAAGTAAATAAAACAATGTGTTTTATACAAACACAAGTGTAACCCACTTTGCGCGACTGACGTTATAAGCGATGTTCGCTGTTGTACGATATTGACTGAATATAAAACAAATCCTATTATTTACTTTAACATCTTGCTTTTCAAAATGTTAATAAACAAAGCTCTTTTCCTGTCCACCCTTTCTTTCATAGACATGGATGATGTGTGTTATGCTACTACTTCAGTAAAAGCTGCCAAAAACATTTCGACTACAATTGATCCAAAATGTCTTACACTAGATCCGCCATTAAAAAAGAACCGCAGTGATGACGTCGAGTTGACCAGCAGCCAAACTTCTGACACGATCCCTGCTGTTGATCGGCAAGCCACTTCAGCGATATCACGTGGAAATTTAAGACAGGATAGAAATAATAGCGTAGCTACAGCTCTGTATCATTTACATCTACCTCAACACTTTTCGGGAATGTATGACGATTGCAATTCAAGTGTATCGTCGACTCGCGATGGAAGTATATCACCAAACATGGGTTCCTACGTTGATAATCCCGCCATCAAAGATGAGCCCTTGTCCCCTGAATCTAGCTGTCCGGGTAGCCCGAATTCAAAAAACGATAGGCTACAGCATGAAACCACAATCAGTTTGAATTTAGCAAATTTACAAACTGAATTTTTCTTTGAACAGAAGGTAAGTGTTTTTTTCTGTATAAATTTACCTGCACTGTAAAGTTTTTGTTTATTTGTTAGAAGCACGCGGGCATGCTGCTCAGTGAAAGTCGCAACACGCAAAACCTCAACAAGTCACAGCATCGACAATGTCTAATAGAGGATGGTAGTCAAAATCTATTGTTTTCACATATCAAGAGTGAAAAAAAAAATACAGGTTCATCACCACTAATTTCAAATTCATGTTCAACCACAATGAACACACACACTGACGCTGGGGCTCCTTACGGCATACCGCCAACGCCGCCATCTTCCTTGACAAGTGATGACTCCGAAGGTAATTTAACGCCGGAACATATTTTTTCGCCCGTGTCGCCAAATGCGTCAGTCTCTGCATCTGTGGCTACAAATGGAGGTACGAAGGTATCTAAGTCTGCACTTATAGCTCGTCGTAGTTCAGGTACACGTTATATTGTCAGCCATATCGCTACCACCGGGAGCCCTACAACAAGGCAACCAATTCATACACCACTGATTAGCTCCCAACCTGTAAGTACAGCGAAATGTACACATATTCTTTAGTGAATGTTTCTAAAAATACGAACAATTTATAAAAACAGAAAGGATCCACTGGTATGCTATTACTGACTGAGGAAGAAAAACGCACTCTACTGGCAGAAGGTTATCCTATACCACAAAAACTACCACTAACCAAAGCTGAAGAAAAATCTCTCAAAAAAATACGACGCAAAATAAAAAATAAAGTAAGTAAAGTAGTGCATATTTGATATTGTTATTCTTGAAACATTCGGACAATTTGCAAAATGTGTAGTTTAATAGACAACTTTTTAGGTATGTTATTTTATGTATGTATTAATCATTTATCCTGTCGATAAAGAAGCAAATTTTATCCAAATATGGTGGCTTATGCAGATGACGTGACCATCTCCTTCTCGGAAAATTTCCTCAAACTCTGTGCGAGTGCATGACCGATGCACTGAGCATACTGTCTATTTGGGCGACGTCAAATGGCCTAAGTGTAAGCCCCAGCAAAACAGAGCTGGTACTATTCACAAGGAAATACAAAATTCCCCCTCTTCATCCCCCATTACTGAATGGGGTACCATTATCAGCAGTTCAGCCAAATATCTAGGCTTGATACTAGATAGGATGCTGGACTAGAACCTTAATATCGAAGACAGAGTGAGGAAAGCCACAATCGCACTCTACACCTGTAGGAAAGCCATGGACTGAAATGGGACATGGACCCCTACGTGGTTACCCATACTCCTATATGGAGTCTCCATATGGTGGCCATCGCTGGCAAGAAATTCGTCTCTTCAGAGACTAAATAAAGTTCAACGGCAAGCTGAACTAACGATCTCTGGTGCATTCCGCACCATCCCCAGCGACGCACTAGATGCGATTCTGGGAATACTCCCAATACATCTCATAGGGAAAATGACCGCCACGCTGGCGGCCCTTCGCATGAGAGAAACCAACCAATGGTCAGAGGAATGTGTTGGTCACGCCAAAATCCTGAGAGGAAATGACATAATCCCCTCAGTCACTGACTATTGTACACCATACTCCCTTTCACTCCATCATTCCCTCAAGGGATGAATGGAATTCCTGAAAATTCAATAAAAATATATACAGACGGTTGTAAGCTGCACAACCGCGTAGGCGGGGGTATCTTCTGCGAAGAACTCGGCATCAGAAAAGCTTTCAGGCTCCTGGATCACTGTAGTGTATTCCAGGCCGAAATCACAGATATTCAAGAAGCTCTCTTCATATTGCCAAGCGCAGTCACAGACATCAGAGAAATCTGCATGTATTCGGATAGCCAAGCGGCGATAAAATCCCTAGACAACATCACATCGAACTCGATGTCAGTGCAGACCCGTCGCAAATCTCTTCACAAGATGGCTACACAGTTCTCAGTCTACCTCATTTGGGTCACAGGCCATCGGGACATAGATGGAAACTGCATAGCCGACGAACTGGCAAGAGAAGGTACCACCGTTCCCCTCCTTCTAGACAAGGAGAGCATCGGTATACCGATGGCCAGCTGTAAACTGTCCATTCGGAACCACTTCGATTTCATTGCAAATCAAATGTGGACCAATCACATATACCACCACAAAATCACACGTCAAACGTGGCCCATCCGCGATTGGAAACGGACTTTAGAAATCTGTAAGCTGAGCAGAAGCCAATGCTGGGCATACGGATGGGTGTAACAATTGCGCAAAAATGCAGCCAACGGGGATATGGGAAGCGGACTTGTCCACGCGGTACCACAACGGTCCAAATAACCATGGCCTAATTGAGTCAGGGTTTTCATAAGCTCTGGATGCCGCACCTACCTACCTACCTATCCAAATATGATCAAAAAGATAAAAAATTGTTAAACAATTAAGACATTTAAAAAAATGTAAACAAGAAAGGAATGCTAAAGTCGAGCGGGTCCAACTCTTAAATACCCTGTACCTCCACCAAATAGAAAAAAATGAAAAAAAATTTTTTAATTAATTTTAAAAAATTATATTAATTAAATTAAATACCAAATTATTCAATACATATATACAAAAATGGAGACAGGTTCATGTACAGTTTCAACAGCATACATTTACATCAGAATCGTGTTTCTGGGTGTTTATCTGCGTATATGTATGCAGCACAAAGTTGAACCAAAGCAGCAACAACAACAATAGATACAAGCAGAGCATGGGCAGCGATTTTATTTGTGGCTATAACTTTCTTCAGTACTGACCTATCATGATGAAACTTGGCATACAGACACATAATCACTAACGGGATATAGTTACGAAATTTTAGTTCCAAGAATTACGGTAGTTATGAAAAAAAACACGAATTACGGGGTGGGGGGGGGATGTATTAGAATAAAAATAAATAAATTTGACCAGTCTAGGACTTAGGGGAACCTCGATACCAAGTTTGGTTATTCTAGCTTTGGACTTCCTGAGATCCTTGCGATCATACAGAAAGACAGGCATGGCTCCATCGACTCGTCTTGTCATACTGATCAATAATATACTGTACATGAAATGTACAAGAGCATATTAGGTTTGCGGGAGCTGAAAAATGTAACAGGCAGAAGGAGGCGTGGCAGACCCCACAAAGTATATATATTGTTGATCAGCGTGACAAGACGAGTCGATCTAGCCCTGTCTGTCCGTCTGTCCGTTCCGTATGAACACCTGGATCTCAGAGACTATAAGAGATAGAGAAACCAAATTTTGCACAAAGATGCCTTATGTGTGTATTCTATACGAGTTTGTTTTATTTTTTTGATTTCCCCCCCCCCACTTCCCCCCTATGGGGGTTTTCCCGATTTTCCATTCGTATAATCGCCTATATCTCGGAGACTATAAGACCTAGGAACACCAAGATGCCTTGTGTGAATACGCAGAAAATGTATATTTCCCTCCCTCCCCCCTCTCCCATGCAAATCGCGATTTTCTCTAACTCCCGTAATTCTTGGAATTTCGAACTTAAACTTGGCAAATACCTTCAGTTAGTTACCTTAGTTATTATGTGTCAGTACGCCAAGTTTTACCATGATAGACCGATTTAACAAGAAGTTATAGCCATAAATATATTTGCTGCTGCAGCGCTGCTCAAGCGCTGCCCGCGACTGTTGTTGATGCTGGTGCTTTGGTTGACTGAACACATGTTTACACAGACACGAATAGATGCGCATAGGCATACATACACTCACACAGACGCAATTGCTATGTAAATGTGCAATTATACACCCTTTACGTGAGTTCGAATACCGAGAAAGGTAAAATCGATCAAAACTTTTTTTTTTTAATTTTCTTAATGTTTTTTATTTTCTTTAATTATTGTAAACATATGTACAGACTATTTCAAAGTCGGGACACCCGACTTTAGCTTTTTTACTTGTTTAATTCCCGTTTTGACTCAAATTTGGCAAATACCTCCAGTAAGTGATTATTTGTATACTAAGTCTCATTATGATAGGCCGATTTAACAGGAAGTTATAGTTATAATATTTAGCTAAGCGCTGCCCGGCTGTTGTTGTTGCTGCTTTGATTCAACATTGTGCTGCTTGAAATCCCACATAGACAAGAATAGACACGCTTAGCCATGCATACACTCACATAGACGCAATTGCTATGTAAATATGCAATTATACACCCTTTACGTAAGTTCAAATACCGAGAGCGGTAAAATAGATCAAACAATTTTTTTTAATTAACTTAATTATTTTTTTTTAATTTCTTAATTGTTAAGAACAACATATGTACAGGGTCGGAACGCCCGACTTTAGCTTTTCTACCAACATTTTTATTTATCGATGCATCGAACCTCTAACTAACGAATTTTCAATACGATTTTATTGATGCCTATATCGAAAATAAATACGCATCGAATTCATCTTTCACTATGAACACCTATCAGCTTGCTCGCAAAGCAAACAATTCGGCTTCAGCTTCGTCTCAGGGCTTACTATCTTTGTACCCTAAGAGCTAGAGACACCAAATTTTGAGTACAAACTACAATACAATTAAATTTAAATCATAATTACTGATACACATATGAAAAGTACTAATGTACATACAGCTTGAGGCACCTAGAGAAGTAATTTGCAACTGTGAAAATTCTTTAGAGTGCTTTCTGAAAATTGCGTCTCAGCATAGACGAAAAAGGCCAACTAGCTAAGATTTCCGCATATATTTTATATATTTCTTTGGGCTGCTCATTTTATTTATTTATTTATTTGCAGATCTCCGCCCAGGAAAGTCGTAGAAAGAAAAAAGAGTACATGGATCAATTAGAAAGACGCGTTGAAAACCTTGTTTCAGAGAACCACGATTGCCAAAAGCGCATTGAAATATTAGAAGAAACTAATGCTAATTTAATCAGTCAGTTGCACAAGCTGCAAGTACTGGTCAGCAAACAGAATTTGAAGAAATTTTAAAATTAGAAAATGTTTGATGGTTGTTTAGCAATAAGAATTTAAAGAAATAATGTATAAATCTTTTAGCATCAGGCTTTCGACGTGTTCCAAAGTGAGTTTTTTGCTTTATAGATATAAAGCCTACAAAAAAATTAAAAATTAATTAATAAATTTAATAACATCTGATGTATTTTCAAAAATAATAGTGATATCGGATATGGAGCACAAAATATATATTATAAATATTCTATTAGTATCATTTTTAAATTATATTAAATTGAAAATTAATTTGAATCTTTTTAAGATAATAACAAACGGCTAAGATAGATTTTCCGAACAGAATAATATTTTCCTGTGACATTGCACGAAAACAAGATATTTAATTGAATATAAAATCCGGTTCGTAATTTAAGTTTTCTACAAAATAAGCTAAGTTCTTCATTCCAATAGCATTTTAAGTTAAATTCAGAAGAGTATTTAAGTTTGATTTCCGCTTATATTAAAAACCAATTCATATAAATTATGACAAGTTTGGAACTCACTTGTTAATAACAAATCGCAACTTAAAAAGAAGCAAATATAAAAACTTGAAAACGTTAAAAGTATGCTTAAATGAGGGCACTAGAAAGCATTAATTTATTGAATTTGAGAGCGAATACATTACATTATGTTTTAATAATGATTGATTGTCTGAACGGCTATAAAATCCATCAAAATGGACGGGCTAGATGAGTTTTTCGACGACTTTTGTTCCTTTAACTGATATTCCTCAAACGATATACATATGTACAAGTATGTATGTTTATGTAGATTTACAAAAAGCTTATCTTAACAATTTTTAAGATCTTAAAAGAATTTATGAACTACAGTTTTAGTGATAAAACGGATTTCTGTACGCCCAAGTAAAAACATGTCAGCATATAATGTACACATCGGATTAAATATTTATTCTTGTGCTTATTTTGCAACAGACCGAACATCAAGTGTTTCCGTATCCATAAGATATATAATGTAGTATTTCTAATGTTGATAAAGATAAACCTCTTTGGTCTGTCCGTCTGCCTCATTCGTAATAAAATTTCTCCCCCTCCCTCACTAACTTTAAAAAATTGAAAAAAAAATTACTTAAATCAACAAATCAATTTCCGAGCCAATTTAACACATTTATATACATAAGTTTAATATGAAAATGCGGATACATAGATCTGCTTTTTAATTTACTACATTACATTAAATAATATGTTCATGAAAATATAGTTAGATAAATGTCTAAAATTCTTAAGATAAATCATTTTATAATACCTACAGTACGACTGCTTAAGCGCACTGATGGGAAAAATTGGACTGAAGTCATTTTAGTTTCATTACTATAAGTCGTATGAAAAGCATTACTAAAGCAACCGTAAAAAGAACTTACGCGTACTTTAAGATATTGTTCAAGGCTGTACTGTAAATAAATGTGACAGACAATGTGCAATTATACTTTGCAAGTAAATTATCAATACTTAATCGCTAACACGCTGGAAAGACAGTTTAAGTGCAGTGGTGAGAAAAATTCGGTATATGTCAGGTTAACAAATTTATTCGTTCAAATTGCCAAACTGAATTCGTTTATAGTATCTGATCGCTCATGCAAAAGCAAACTCAGATAAACTGTGTGCTATGTTAAGTGCAATAATTGAAAAGAAAGTATGCAAGAGAAATAAAAACAATTATGTACATAATTTTTATAAAATCATATCATTATTTCAGAGCGGATAAAAATAAATACCTGCGATTGCTTTTAATTATTGGCAGACCCCAATGTTATAGTTATATGAATAACGTGATGAGACGAATCGATGTAGAAATCCGTCGGTCTGACAGTATGGACATTTCATAGGACCGATCGGTGGAAAAATAGCTCCTAGATGTTTAATATTTGTTTTTAAAGATATTTAAATAAATTACTTTTAATAAATGATCTTGGTATTTATGAGTATAAATCGGGCCGCTATATTATATAGCTACTATAGGACCGAACAGTGCATCAGATTGCGTGTATGCCTTTAGGTTGTGAACTACGAACTAAGGGACTAACTAAAGAAAATATTTTTTAATATTACTGAGTAAAACATACATGAGTAACGGCAGTTGGTGATGGTTTTCATTTTTCGTACTTCCTCTTTCGCTATAATTCTGTAGTTAGTTACTTTAGCAAATGATTTAATGAATATACGGTTTTCTTAAAAGAGACCACCGCCACATTGGTTTTAAAAAACAATGCACAAAATCATATTGATATACGTCCGTATGCCCTTTTAGATTTCTTCGCCGCCTTTCTGCAAAATATATAAAAATTAATTTTTATTTATGTGTGTGAAATTAGAAAATAATTTGTATTGCTAGTTAATAATCTTAAAGTACAGTAGTATAAACAAAACTTTAATAATATTTGTACACTAACGAAAATATGCATGCCAATAATACATTTTTTAACTGTAATTCAAACACTTAAATTGTCAATTAAAATAAAATACAAGCAACCAAAGAAGCTCGAAATATTATTTTTCTCTTTTAAAATTCAAATACTTCGATTTATGAAATTTTTATATGTTCCGGAGATTTGTTTGTAATTTAACAATGTATTAGTTGTTTTGCGGGAGGTGAAAAATGTAACAGACAAAAGGAGGCGTGGCAGAACCCACGAAATATATATGTATATTCTTGATCAGCATGACAAGTCGAGTCTGTCTGTCCGTCCGTCCGTCCGTGCGTCTGTCCGTATGAACACCTCGATCTCAGAAACTATAAGAGCTAGACACCAAATTTTGCACAAAGATGTCATAAGGGGTATATTAGATTTCTGTAAAAGTGTAACAGGCAGAAGAAAACATAATTTCGGAAACAGCTGGGCGCACATTGTTAACATGTTTAATTTTTTTTGATTCCTTCTCCTCGCTACAGAACTGTTTGCTTATGTTAGGCGGCCCTCCAAGTGAAAGTATGCCACTAGGCTTGTTAACGCTGCCTTGTTGCAAGGCAGGAATTTGGATGCAAAGCATGCCATGTTTTCCTTGTTGTTCTGTAATCTGTTCATTTACGAGTTTTATATGCAGGTTTTTGAGAGTGCTCTTGTACCGGTGCCACAGTGATGGATCTAAGGATCTTGGACTGTTGGAAATATGAGTTTGATGGACTTTATAGTCCAGACAATGCGAAACAAATGTGCTGTTCAACCATGACAATGCACCGTCTCGTACCTTCGGCATCACCAAGGAAAAGATGGTCGAATTAGGCCTCATCCACTCTATTCTCCACTCACTCGCCGGACATTTCAGTCGAATGAGGAGGTTGTCGCCGCCACGGAGTCTAAGCATGTCTGTATGTATGTAAGCATATTGCACAGTATAGAGTTGAGCCAAAGCAGCAACAATAACAACAGCTTCGTGCCGACCTTGGGCAGGTATTACATTTATGGCTATATCTTCCTTTCAAACCGACTTATCTTGATTAAAGTTGGCATACAGATAGATAATCACTAAGTGTCATCTTGGGTTGGAGGTACAGCGAAAAAAAAAACAATTTCGAACTGTGTACTGGTGTCTCTATCTCTTATAGTTGTTCATACGGACGGACGGACAGACAGGCTGCGCTAGATCAATAAAAAATCCAGAGTAAAACAAGTGAAAAATTTATATAGAACCACAGTTCCTGGAGCTGGAACTGGCGCCTGTGGTTCACGGTCGTTCCATTGGAAGTTCCGCAGTGAACCACATGTGTACTGACTCCAATCAGGAATGAGTCAGTTCCCATATGTTAGTAACCGAGTGTTTAATCTGTTAAAACAATCACCCGCGCCTCGTCACAATGTTTACAATTAATAAAATTAAGCGGATTTCGAAGGACAAAAAATGAAGTGCCACTGCTCCCAATGGAGAGGAAAAATGACACCACAGCAGGAGCGCCTGCACCATGGGAGGGAGCCATCTAGCGCATTTCAGCGGACAACTTCAAGTGAGGAGAACAATAACAAAACCGAAGCGCCATTTTGAGCGCCAACAGCTCTGTTCTAATAGAGCACCCTTGCGGACGACTACGTCAGTACGTTGCCACTGTAAGGTGGAAATACACTCGCCTTTTGTGTTATAGGAGCGCCCGTCCACACGTTGGTCTGTAGGGCCGACGCACTTGCGCACAGTGAAATCTTCGCGTCACCAAAACTAGCTGGCCTAGACTGTTGCAAAACAAACGCTCACCATCCATCTGTCGAGCTATAACATCCAAACACATGGATGCAGCACGACTGCAGGTCGCTGTATGCAAACTTTATGACCCCATTTCCCAGGGAAAAAGCAACATTTAGGGAGCTGGAAATTTATTTTATTTTATTTTTTTTATTTTTATTCAAAATATCAACAACACTACAAGTACTGTCGATTATATTATAAAACTTAATATAACAAATTAAACTAAACAAAATAAAAGATAAGAAAGCCTAACACAAAGATGTACAATGACGTCTATTAATGCCTCCGACACGTTGGGGGAATTTTATTTGCCAATTGGCCAGCTATGCCCCGATTCACAGCCATATGCGGTCAGAGACATTAAATACCTAAAAAAATATGCAAAAAGTAGATGAAGGTGAAAAATTAATTCTATTTAACAACTAATTAGAAAAGGTACGAAGTAGAACGAGAAAGAGAAAAAGAAAGAAGGAAAGAGAGACAGAGAAACAGAAAAAGAGAAAGGTAGAAAGAGAGACGAAAAGAAAAAGAAAAAGAGGGAAATCTCCAACCCGGTGGGGGAAATTTTAAATGCCAGTCCGGAAAGCTATGCCCCAACTCACAGCAGTAAGTGGTCAGAGATTTCCCGGAAGATAATTATAAAGAATAGATTTGATAGAACAGAGAGAGAGCCCTGTCGAACGTTTAATGAATTCAAGTAATCCCTTAGCCTTATTAACAATACTAGATATGTGAAGGTTGAAGTTCAATTTGGAATCAAAAAGAACCCCAAGGTCTTCAACAGTCGATATACGTTGCAATGGCACATTGTCAATCGTATACGTCCCAAAATTGGGCAAATGTTTGCGTCTTTCTTAGTCATATATCCATACATGGCTATAACTTCCTGTTACATCGGCCTATCTTTATACAATTTGGTATACTGACTTATAATAACTACCTGGAAGTATTTCTCGAATTTCAATGCAAATGTCTAAGATATACGGTAGTTATGGAAAATCAATGTTTGCGGGGTGAGGGAGGTAAATTCCAAAATACACATTTTCTGCGTATTCACATAAGGAATCTTGGACTAAAAGTTGGTGTCACTAGGTCTTATAGTCTCCGAGATATAGGCGATTATACGAATGGAAAATCGGAAAAACCCCCATAGGGGGGAAGTGAGGGGGAATATCAAAAAAATAAAACAAACTTGCACAGCGTACACACAGATATATATTAAGCATAAGACACATATTATTCTTTTACACAGCACTTATCCACCATAGTTCCGAGCACTGCACATATAAAGATATAGGTCAAACTAAGCTGACACCAGCATACTTACGTAGCTAGACGGGGTCAGCCTACATCCGATGAAGAAGTAATGGGCAATGGCCAATGGCCGCGTCGTGTCACGCAAGTGCAACCAGGGCAACCGGTGCTACTCGCACCTACTGGATCACGAGGGTCCTTTAATTAAACGGGCCACGAGTGTCCACTCAAACATCAAACTGGATCACTAGGATCCCGCTGTACAAGCACAGCGAGGCGGAGTCGAGGAGATTTATCGGCTCATATCAAAATATAAGAAGGATGGCTGGGAGCGTAAGGCCAAACCTGAGTATTACCAAAATCTGGCCCGCCGGCTACAAGGTTTGCCACAGGAGTTAAAATAGGGTCACAGCGCCCTGACAGCCACAGAAGGCCTACCAGCCGAGCATGAGTACTTCCTGCCATACGAGCACACCCGGAAGAAGGCCCAGAGATACTTGGAGCAGGCCGAGTCGTGAGCCCGAAGGAATAGCAACGACCACCGAGTCAGGATTCCAGCTGCAGATTCCGCCAGCCGGTAGCTCCACGAGGCCGGCAACCCCAACCAGCCTAGGGGCGGAGTTGCTCAACTTGGTGGCCTTGGAAAAAGAAAGGATGACGCCTACAAAGGTAATGGCCCAGGGCGTCGCTTCTTTAACTACGAGCTGTACGCATTTAAGATGATGGTGCAGAGTTGGTGAGCTCAACCGATTCTGCCAAAGAGACAAGAATTGGCCCTGGCAGCGTCGAACCGAATGTAGGACAAGCGGCATCTGCTCAACATCGACTGGTAGAACCCAGAAAGGCAAGGCATTAATTCGGTCCTCTTCTTGAGGGTCCAACAGCAGCTGAACGAGTTCCTGTGTAAGGAAGTTCCCCAGGAGGCAAAGCCAAGCACGCAGCCCACCGCTGACATAGCAGTCCGGTTGCCACAAATCTCAATTCTACCGTTCGACGGACGATACGTGAACTGGTCCGCATTCAGTGATCTGTTTCAAGAGATGATCCATGGGACCAGTTTACCAGATGTACAGAAGATGTGCTATCTAAAATCCTGCGTAACGGGAGAGACAGCTGAACTCATCGACCATTTAAGCGGAACAGCTTCAAACTATTCAGTGGCCTGGCAGACATAAGTGCAACGCAATCACAGCAGCTGTCTTGGAGAGATTTATGGAGCAGCCCGTGGCAACAAACAACACAAAGGCCATACGGTCACTGCGGTGGTGTCGTGCAGTGCGGTGATGTCGTCAAGTAATTTAGCGCATTACGACAAGTAGGCCTAAATCCCGTCAAACTTCAAGACAGCATGCTCGTGTATGTCCTGCGTAAGAAGCTGAATAAGTTCAACCTGGCCTTACTAGAACAGGAAACGCAAGACTCAACGGAGCTATAACCGGTCAACGCGTTTCTGGATTTTCTCAACCGTTGCTTCCGCGCACTGGAGGTAACAAGGAACAATAGCGGACCAGCCAAGGCCACCACCGGAGCTGCAATAACCAGAGAGCTAAGCCCTGAAAGAGTCTACTGTTACTACAGGCTGACTGGACACACTGTATACAAATGCGTGACGTTCAAGGCAACGCGCGTGGACCGACGATGGGCCTGGATTTAAGAAACTAACCGATGCCCAAAATGTATCATCGCCACGCACAACTCTCGGGAATGCTCAAGCAGACAGTGCTTCCGATGCCAACAGCCGCATCATACATTGCTACATAAGGACAGCGGAATAACGGCGGCAGCAGGCTTCAGCCAACCACCGATTTCCAGAACTAACAAAATACGTTTTATTGGCTACGGCACAGGACAAAATAGTAGGCCACAATGGTCAGCACAGAATCGTGCGAGCATT